GTATTTAGGCTTTTTCTCTTAAACAGAAAACACTCTGTTCCACCTTGTGATGTGATGTCCTTGCACCTTCACTAGAATCATTTAAATGAGAGGTTTTCAATAGGTGAGGCGTCACGAGACACACTTCACATGTGTCTCATGACGTGAGACACACGTGAAGAAAATACAACAGTCCACATCTGTACACATCTACAGCAGTACTGATATTGGTAATTGTGTGCGCTTGTATTAACTGTAAAATTATCTCACCATTCTGACAACCTACTCATAGTTTAGAGCACAGGTGTCAAACATAAGGCCCGGGGGCCAGATCCAAAGACCTTTAATGTGGCCCTTGGGTGATTTTTCTACTAATATATTTTAATATATTTTCTATTAAAATATTGTTAATTTTCTGTGGTGTTTATCACAACAGTGTCTCCAGCGTCTCTGTACGTGGCCCCTCCCACCAGAGCAGCACAAATGAAGACTTGTCTCTTTCCAAACGCTCTTAAAGGACGATCGTTTTGACTGTTGACCGTGACACCCTCATCAGAAAAATGTCAAAAATGAGAAAAGTGACACGGAGTGCAGGATTTTCCAAGAAAAAATGACTTATTCCTATTGCATACAAGTATTGTTAAAACAATTGTGCTAAAATTTAAATTTTCTTCAACTTTCAGGTTGTTCATAATATTATAATAAGAAAGAGTTCATCAATTAAAAAAGATTTCTGTAATAGATTTGTGTTTCTCTGCACACATATTTTGAACTTATTGTTTTTTGGGGTTTATAATGTCATGAGTTTTCTGATCCGGCCCCTTTGGGATCAAAGTAGGTTGGATACGGCCCCCGGACCAAAATGAGTTTGACACCCCTGGTTTAGAGCGTCAACTTTTTTGCCTCGTGTACGATGTGTGGACCATGTCTTCTTTTGTATGCCATGTGGACTAGGGTGACCAAATGTCAGTTTTTCCCCAGACATGTCCGTTTTTTGCGTCCTGTCTTGGGCATCCGGCTTTTTTTTTTTTTATAACGTGACACAAATGTCCGGGTTTTCATTACCGTTCATTGGGGCCATTAAACTGAGCAGCTCTCGTAGCTTCTGTGACTCAGAAGGAGCGAACAGACACAAACAGTTGGTCAGTCTGCAACATGCCAAAACGCAAATACGCATTTAACGATGACTTGAACAAGAAATTCTCCGTTTCCTGTCACGATCGGGACAAGTGGAAGGCCATGTGCACAGGTTGCGAGGTGAGAGTAGCTCAATGTCGAGGCCTCACCCCCCACCCCTGGTAAGGTGTCCGGGTTTTCACAAACAGAATGTGGACCCTGTCTTCTTGCATACGCTGCATGGACCGTGTCTTCCTGTGTACACTACATGGACCGCACCTCATGCTGTATGCCTCGTGGACTGCATCTTCTCGCGTACGCCTTGTGGACCACACCTCCTCCTCATACGCCATGCAGGCCACCTCCGCAACTCTAAATCAAGACTAAAACCACGACTAAAACAGAAATAAAACTAGGATCAAACCAGGACTAAAGTCAGGCCTGAAATCGGGCCTAAAACCAGATCTAAACCAGGTCTAAACCAGGTCTAAACCAGGTCTAAATCAGGACTAAAATCAGGCTTAAAACCAGGTCTAAACCAGGATTAAAACCAGGTCTAAACCATGTCACACAGGGGGAGAGGGGGGAGGCTTGGCTGTCTTTGCCTAGTCTAATGGGAGGCTCACATTCACCCAATTTGAAAACCTCTGATTTAAATAATTTCAGACCAGGAATTGCCAACCTCTTCTGAACTAAAGGTAAAAATAAAAGTAGCTGTTAACTTGAAAACTACCACTACATGACATCACAAGGTGGACCAGAGCATTTTGAATAGGAGAAGTGAGGTCACATACAGTAACACGGAGGTCCAGCTTAATTTCACCGGTGCATTTTGCGGTCACGCTGTTGAAAGTTGTGTGGAAAGACCTTAAAGCCCGTCATGACATCACATCGGGACGGAGTTGGAGAATGCCTTTAGATCCAGCCCGGCGACATCCTGCCCACCAATGCGAGGGCCTGGAGCTTACCGGGACTTCCAGAATACATGACATATCTTGCGGCAGAGCTAATGCAGTCACGTGACCGGGCACTGATCCTCACTCACTCCCTGCTATTCCTAGAAGCGCCGTGCCAGCCAGCGCTCCGAGGTTTGTTTAATAGCGTGGATCAGATGTCCATTAAAGCTTTGTGGGCTAAAAGTGTCAGCGTGGTTGTGATTTGAGGAGAGTTTTAAGTACGGGCTATCCAAAAAAAATAAAAATACACATAATACGAGAATAACTGTGGTATGAATAGCTCAATTAGCATGTCATGTTTTCTTGTCCACATGGTTTACTGGGGTCACGGCTTCAGCCCTCGGAAATGTAAGATCCAAGATATTCCAGTTATTGAAGCAGATTATGTTTCATTTATTCCACAGCGATCCGGAAGGTTGAACGGCTCATGTGCTGTACTCGCACGGGCTCAAACCTGATCCAGAACTATTGATACTTTGCAGCGATATAAGGCCGGGGGTGTTCTACGTGTGCCTCTATGGTAGAATGTTTGGCAGGCACCACGGTGACAGAGTGCGCACATCAGGCGAGACATTTCACCCACGTTGCCTAGTAAGAAAATGGTGTGTTCGCGAGTGCTGGTGGTGGTCGGAGGGGCCGATGGTGCAGATCGGCAGCCCCGCTTCCCGTCAGTCTGTCCCAGGGCAGCTGTGGCTTCAGTAGTCTCGCACCACCACAAATTATGAAGCGAATGAGTAATGCATAAGGTGACCAGACGTCTCTATTTTCACGGGAGAGTCCCAGTTTTTTCTCATCAGATTTATACAAAACCAGTGATTTGTCTCAATTTTATACAACATGTCCCAGGTGTCCCTATTTTTGACCAATTTGATGTAAACTAGGTCTAAACCAGGTCTAAACCAGGACTAAACCAGGTCTAAACCAGGACTAAACTAAGACTAAACCAAGACTACATCAACTCTAAACCAGGACTAAAACAGGACTATCACAATTTTTGACAAATCTGATCCCTGCCAACAGTAGAGGAGCAGAAATTGTCTTTTTTTTTTTTGCCAAAACACAGAAATCCATCTTTGAAAATGACGATAAAGAAAAAAAAAAAAAAAAAGTGCAGCAAGAAGTCCCTTTGATTATGACTGACACGAGCATGCACACTGTTAAATGCTCTTTTCACCTTTTTAGTTACACCAATCATCCAAACCTGGATGTTTCCCAACTTAGAATTTTGAAAATCTGAAGACCCTAGTCATCCACGAAATTGTAAAATGACTTTGAGTTGAGTGAGTAGAGAACAACAGACTGTTAACGTCACATATGAACAGTTCTTCAGATAAACTATAACATAAACAACAGAACAGAACCAAGTTTACCAAACTCTCCATCTCACTCCAAATCACTAAATCCATTCAATTCTTCATCCTCTGTGTCACTTCTGAAAAACTCCGTGACCTCCGGAGGTAAACACAGCGCCACTTCCTCTTCTGTGTAGCTGTCGTCAGACTCCGCATCTGTTCCTGCTAGAATTATTCTTTCTGAATCCTAACAGGATGGTTTCGATTGTCACTGAAGTCCAAGATTTGTCGATACATCCAGTGACTTCCAGGAAAGTTGCAAGGCGCACAAGTTTCTCACTTACTCCAAACTTTCTTTTTGCTGCTTGATTACTGTTTTCAGCTGAATATTTCACTACTTGCAGCTCGTAATTTGCAAAATATGATTTTCTTTTTGGGGGCATTTTTGTTCAGTCTTCTCAGTCATCTTTAAAAGTTTGTTTCAAATTAAAATTTTCCGTGATGCAGAAGTAACGGTGCGATCGACGGACATGATACAGACAGCACAGAGGCTCTTTCTGCAGGAGACATGTGCAGTAGAGCCAAGTGACAGTGGTACAGGAGGAACAGGAGCAGCAGATACTGACACACAAGACTAGAGCGCCCCCTCGAGGCTTCAGTGTGTAAATTTAATATATAAGTCGCATCAGAGTGTAAGTCGCAAGAAACACCCAAACCATGAAAAAAAGTGCAACCTATAGTCCGAAAAATATGGTAATGTTATGCAGTGCACCCTTTAAAGTAAAGTGCAGATTACAGTCTAACAAAGCCTCAGACAGAGCAGTGCCAACAGTTAGCATCACACCCGCAGTGAATATCATCTGCAGAGTATCAGTATCTCGGTCTCCCTGCGCAGTCACCTTCAGCAGCAAAAGCCTCCATTGTTTTTATGAACGAGGGTCTGAAATGTGAGCTGATTTTGTGAATATTAATGCGGCGGGAGATAAGGAGGATGAGCTGGAAAAGTCAGGTTCAGAACAGCTCTCCACCAAAAACGATTTAAGAGAAAGGGCAGGGAGACCTTTAGCTCCTCTTGTGCTTGTTCCGCGGTCTCTTTTTAGACTTCGCTCTGAGTCAGACGCACGCGGTGACCTCACATATTTAAGCCTGTATTATCATATTTTTACCATAATGCATGACCGTCTGATACGAAGAAGTGCAAGCTCTGCTCACCTTTTAACATGAATATTTTGGTTTTGAATATAGAGACTTTGCAACTGATGTATGCCGTAACTTGGTTCAGTTGCTGGAGACATTTCCTGGAGGTGTGATGGTAACTGTAGGCACTGCTCCGTCTGAGGCTTTGTTCGACTTTAATCGGAGCTTTATTCTAACACAATCTGACCCGAAAGAGCTGGTTTAGTTGGAAATACAACAGTAGTACAGAGATTTATTGCAAAACTGGTCCCTCTCAAATAATTATCTCGCATTACTCAATGATTTTTTTTGTTTGCAGTTAGTCACTCTCATCTTTTTGTTGAAAATCAAACACGAAAACGGGACCATGAACGCTCAAATGAATCACAGACTTCTAAAAAAATGTTGTTTAAATCCGTTTTGTATTTTTAGTGCTGTCAGTCGATTAAGATGTTTAACCGTGATTAATTTCATTTTACAGATATAATCACAGCGTGGAGCAGTGAGGACGGCCGGAGGAGAGAGGCTGCAAAACTTCTGTCTCTGTCACAGTCCTTATTGAAGGTAAGAGAGACGGGAGTTTACTGGATGTTTTGGAGCGGACTTTATTTTGTGTTTTCCTCGTATGAGTAACGTCAACATCATCACGCACAGGGTTCTTATAGTGAAGTCGTGCGCGTACGTGAGCTCCATGCCGTGCTTTGGCCCACCTCCTCCAACCGTGACTTTTTTTTATTTATTTTTTTTATTTATTTATTTCATAAAGCATAAAAAGACATCTACAGTGTCACAACATCAAACACACAAGAAATGAATGAAAAGGAGCAGAAAGAAGAAAAAATCTTATGTTATCTGCCCCCCTTTCCTTTTTCAAGACAAAACATCAACACTGATCGTCACTAAACATTCCATATCAGTTCAGGCACAATTACTGATCAATTGCAAACAGTAAATCTTCACTATTATACACAACTTAGTTTTCTTTTTCATACAGACACAGTGCATTTGATTTTATATGTTTTTTAAATGTCGTCCTTGTGTGTTCTTGATTCTTTTATTTCTTTGTCAAGACTCTTCCATAAGTGAACTCCTTTCACAGCGACACTTCGCTCCATAACCTTGGTTCTGAATCTGGGTTTTTTAAACATGTAGGTTCCTTTTAAATTGTAGTGGTTTGTTCTCATCTCAAACAGTTTTTGAATATTTACAGGTAATAAATTACACTTTGCTTTATACATGACTTTGAGGATACTTAAGTCAACAATATCCTGCATTTTCAACACTTTAAGTTGAACAAATATTGGGTTGTTTGTCTCTCTACAATGACTGCTGGTGATGATTCTCAAGGCCCTTTTTTGTAAAATAAATAAAGGTTGTAGGTAAGTTTTACATGTTGAACCCCAAATTTCCACACAGTACATCAGATATGGTACAATTATAGAGTTATACAAAGTTAATAATGCTGTACTATTTAGTGAGAACTTTATTTTATGCAGAACAGCAATGGCTTTGGAAATGTTGCCTTTTGTGTAATTTATATGAGATCTCCAGTTTAGACCTTCATCAATCATAACTCCTAAAAATTTAGTTTCATTTACTCTTTGAATTTGTATCCCATCTATTTCTAAAGTTATGTTGTCTTTTTTCTTTTTATCATTAAATAAAATGAAATTTGTTTTTTTTAACATTCATAATCAATCCATTTAAATCAAACCAATATTTAACTTTTCTTAGCTCTTTGTTAACTTTACTTGTGACCTCTTTTATGTCTTTTCCAGAGACTTCTCAACTTCGTACAGATTATTTTGCTTCCGTGTTATTAGGTTCTTTTTTCAGACCAAAGGTTTGTTTCCATACCTGACAGTTTCGACTGCTCACTAGCGTCTTCCTCAGAGTGGTCACGTGATGTTGCTGTGACATGTCCAGTCAGCTGATTTATACAGGTTTTGGCGCTGTCTTCCTACCGCTGGGGGCAGGATGACAGCGCCATCTGCTGTCCGACTTCCTCAGGACAGTATCCCAGGTGTGTGAGAGTAAAAAAGCCCCCTTGTCCCGGTTTATAGTCCAGTGAGCACGTTTACGTATTTCGATTGCCTCTTTAATCCAGGGACGATATTTGTTTTCCTCTGTCCATCCCGGTCCATAATATGGTTCTCTCTTTTACAGTGTCAGAAATGGTGGATTTGAGTTGTTCCTGTTCTGCTTTGTGTTTTGTTGCTCGCGTGCACGCCTTCGCTGTTTCCTTCTCGCGTTCTGTTCTAGGTATGAAAACAAACCTTTGGTCTGAAAAAAGAACCTTATAACATAAATTATCGGATGACCAAATGAACCTCATCGGACTATTTTGCTTCCGGTTGTCCTTTTCCTAAAGTTACTAGCAATGGCCACGGCTTATGAAAAAAACTCTAAAGTTCTAAACTTTTCCATGACTTTTTCATGACCTAAAGTGAATTTCCCATGACTTTATGGCTCTTACATGTGTAAAATTGATCAAACTTTTAGGGCTAAATATGAAATGTTAACTCTGTCCACTCACCTTATGGTTTGGTATTATAGTTTTTTAACATTTCAAAATACTCCCCAGTCTTTGGAGGGGTATATGAGCACCTGGGCTGGCAACCATTTTGTGTGCTGTGGTCCAAAGCAAGAAAATGATCTGATGAAAGCTTTTTTTTTGCCGAAACGTTATTTTGAAAATAAAAAAGCTTTTGGACATCGGCCATCTGCGAGTGCTATGCATTTTTTCACTTTTGTCTGGCTGCTCCTTACATTTGCACCTCTACAAGAATTTTGGTGTGCGTTTTCTGTTTCTTTTGTATTTAACATTCAAAATCCTGTCAGTGCATTTATTGTCGTCTCTTTTAAACAAAAGGCGCAGACGTTCAGAAACAATCATAATAGTCTAATGAGAACTTAACAGAACGCTGTAGTTACGTGAAAGAGATACTAAAATTCCATGACTTTTCCAAAACTTTCATTGAATTTACAAAATGCCATGACTTTTCCAGGCCTAGAAAATGACGTTTTCAATTTCCAAGACTTTTCAAGGATTTCCAAGACCGTGGGAACCCTGTAGTTCACTTGGTAACCTTTAAAATTAGTTTTGTGTTAACTTGTTAATAATGTGATATTTTTGACAGAATTTTTTTAGTATCCAGAACTTATCTAAGAACTTTTTGTTTGTTTACTAATGTGTGCATTGTGTCACCATGGTAACTGATGAACATTCTGCCATACACACACACACGTACAACACCTCCATTACAATGTCACCGCAAACCAACACTTTACCAAACTATGGAAAGGTCAAAACTTTAATCACTTTTATTTATTTATTCCCAGTTTAAATAGAGATTTTACATGATACATAGTTATATAGACAACACTGTGCTTTATCCATACTGACCCCATTGCCCCTCGCCGTGTGTTTCGTGCCGTGGCCGTGTGTTCTTTTGCCCTCCACCCGTGCAGAGGCAGAAGCGCCAGGGCCAGACACCGGGGAGCCGCTCTCATACCCCGAGATACCGGGACATAAAACTCGCAACTGCTCCAACAGCCCGTGATCTGGTCCCTGCAGATTCCACTCTTTACGTCGCCAGATAAACTCCGCCGCTAAAGAAAATAGGGCCACCCAGAGACGAGCCGTGAAGGTCACCAAGCTGCTGTAAGGGAAACCACAACACGGCAGCGGGGTGAGGGCATGAATACAGAGCAAACACCAGACACAACGCACAGAGGATTTAAAGGGGGCATATTATACTATTTTCTGATCTGTTATGATGCTGTTTCTCGCAAACAGACCTGGAGTTGTGTTTTGTTTCACTCACACATGTTTAACACACAAACTCTGCAAATTTAGACTAGTTCTTCTCTTCGGAGATACAGACAGATGAATAATAAAGTGTTACTCAAACTTGTGTGAATGAAACAAAACACAACGCCAAAATCTGTGTATCATTCGCACATTCGTTTTTCAATATAAAACCAAAAATAAGAAAAATAAAAATAACAACTATTTTCTTCATTATTTGTCTCCCAAACCAAAATGAAAAAAACGATAATAACGATTTGCTTTTTCAGTTTATTTTTGTTTTAAAAAAAAAAGGATAACAGACGTTTCCCGATTACGTGACTTAAACTGCGATGCCGGACTTTCGCACCACGTACGGACTGAACCAGGACTAAACCAGGAGTGTCGGGACGGGCCTGGAGGTGCGCCTGCGTAGACTGTCGAATGATCGGGACTGAGATCAGGACCAGACCAGGACTGAGACTGGAACCAGACCGGGACTGAGACCGGGACCGAGATCGGGACCAGACCAGGAATGAGACTAGAATTTCCGTATTTTCCACACTATTAGGCGCTCTGGACTATAAGGCGCATTGTCATTAAATGGTCTATTTTCAAACTTTTTTCACAAATAAACCGCACCAGACGAAAACGAAACCCAACAGTTGGATGGGTCAGTGGTTTTGTTTGTTTGTGGCGTTCACGGTGACTCTGGGCTTTGTTCAGTTGTGGCGTGTAGGGAGGGTGCTGTCTGGGACCAACGGATTGTCGGCGTGTTCGCAGTGACTCAGTTGTTCAGTTGTGTCTAGAAGCGGCACATTGCGCTCGCTTTTTCGGTCGTTCCTCCGTTCCGTTCCTCGTCGGCGTGGAGTGATGAGTGTGGCAGTGGGTGTTTTTCGCTGCACGGTCACTGTCTCCTCCGTTTGTGTTTGCGGCTTTGTAGTTTACTGAAGTCGTGCAGGGACGCCCGAGTGGATTCGTGTATGGGGCGCTCTGGATTGTGGGGCGCGCGGTCGTTTTTTGATGGGGCTAGAGGCTTAAGAGCGCGTCTAATAGAGTGTTCCGGCGCATTACATACGTCTCGACCAAACAGCAGCGATTGGTTAATTTAAATGTAAATATAAAAGTGAAAAAATGCATAGCAGACTCAGGTAGTCATTGTCCAAAAGCTTTTTTTTTTGGACCACTGTATAAAAAATGGTTGCAGTTAGGCCGGGCGTACACTGTGCGATTTTTGACCCTTTTTGAGCCGATTTTTCGCTCGTGCGACTGTTTTGGGGATCGGGCCGAGTTTTGGCATCATCGTGTGTCGTGCTTCGTGTAGTTTACATGGGGTAAAGAGAACCGATTAATGACTCAGGACCAGCTCCCGATCGACATTCGTAGGTCACAAGAAAATCAAACTTGTTTGAAATCCAGTCGCCTCTCGTGAGGATTTCGCTCTGTTGAAGTTGTTCCATGAACCGATTTGCCAGAATCTGGCAGACTGCGCATGCACGGACACAGAAGTGGCTCAGCATTGTGTCTCCGCACATCTGTGGTTTTCTACTTCCGGAACAACAACTTTGACAACTCCGGTTGTTATGTGAACGTACAGTGTGAGCAGGCAAGTCGCATCCGAGCATCGGTTCGTTCAGTGTGAGAACATGATTCGTGAGCTGTGAACTGTTAAACCCTGTGATTTGGTCGTACAGTTTAAGCTGGGGCTGAGTGACACGACCGAAAATATCGCACAGTGTACGACC